ACTCACATATGGTTATTTCATGTCCATGATTATTTGACCAAAAAAAATTATCCATATGGTTTATATGTCTATAACATTATGTCCATATAAACGTATCCATGTGGTTATAAACTGAAAGTTTGTTTTCGATATCCTCTATTATGTTCATGATTCATCTTGTTACTCGCTAACAATGGGCCATCAACTCTTATTATGATAGTGTAGTTTAGGATTAAGAACGGGTTTTGTGTTACTACAGTCTTTGCTTTAATACAAAGGATTGTCCATCCATCATAGTTTCATGGATACCATCGATTTGTAAGCTATACATTTAGATTTGAAAATCGCGTTATCCATATGAACATAGTATTTTGGTCAAATATAAATGTTAACGAATTGTAAACGATTCTTGTTGATCTCACTGACTACATCTTTGAATGCACCGTGAATGTCTCGATGATCAAATTGTGTTATTCACATGGATAATAATAATAAAAAAAAAACTAAATTAGTTAACAAAGGTGAACATACAAACGAGAACACACTCATGGAATATCTTTTGAACCAAATCGACTAAAGCAAATAAAAAAAAAATGCATGATACGTTTTCATGATGATCGGCTTCATGATCATAATGGTTTTGATTGATCTCATTGATCAAAAGCCGGTTTTGGTCTAAAATATCTTGAACTTGAACAAAACTCTTCTGAAATCCATTTTGATGTGTCCACGATACCACGCCTACGAGTTCATCCCATGGATGCGCATATAAGACAAATTCGGAAACCATAAAGCTTATGATAATCATGGAAGTGGATCATCGATTGTTTTCTTTGATTTGTTTCATTGCTTTGGTTCTCAGATTTGTAATGGTCACAAAAGGATCTACCTCATTTTGAAGAGTTTACATCATTATGTTCTCTTTTATCAACTAACTTAGTTTTCCATTATCTATTTTTGCCGCATCCATATGGTCTCACACAAGTTAAACCCAGAATTGCGGAGATTAATAAAACATGTTATGAACATTTGTATTGTTCATATGGATAACAAAACTATCCATACATTATTACAATAATTAAATCTAATATCATCCACACTATATCATCCATACCTAATTGTCCACACCATATCATCCATAAAAAAAAAAAATTTAAACTCTGGAAAAATAGAGTTTACTTAATGTTACAAAACAAAAGTTCTGGAAAAATATAGCAGAGAATTGAATTGATAGTTGAAAGTAACATGTTAATTTCAATCTACAAAGAGGCATTGACCAACAACTTCAACATTCTTAATGGTTCAATTTTGAAGCTCTTTGCCCTTTTGCCTCTGAAAATCCCATAATAATTACATGATATCTTCAACCACCTCTGATTTC